ATGGGCATTATGAGTTTGTGGTGATGCCTTTCGGACTCACCAATGCTCCGGCAGTGTTCATGGATCTCATGAACCGGGTGTGCAGACCGATGTTGGATCGGTCAGGGATCGTATTTATTGATGACATTTTGGTATATTCGAGATCTAGGGAGCAGCATGAGGAGCATTTGAGGGAGATCCTCGGAGTTCTGAGATCGGAGAGGCTTTATGCCAAATTCTCCAAGTGTGATTTCTGGTTGCGAGAGGTCCAGTTCCTAGGACATCTTGTTAACCAGGATGGGATATTGGTTGATCCGGCCAAAGTGGAGGCAGTGATGAGTTGGGAGGTGCCGAGGTCACCCTCCGAGATTAGGAGTTTTCTAGGGTTGGCCGGTTATTATCGGAGATTTATCATGGATTTCTCTAAGATCGCAGTGCCACTCACTAGGTTGACCCGGAAGGGTGTTGCTTTTTCATGGGGCCCCGTGCAGCAAGCCTCCTTTGAGACGCTTCGCCAAAGGTTATGCGAGGCCCCGGTGTTAGCCCTCCCGGAGGGAATGGAGGACTTTGTTGTATACTGTGATGCATCGATTTTGGGGTTAGGAGTGGTGCTGATGCAGAGAGGGCATGTGATAGCGTATGCATCGAGGCAGTTGAAGCCTCATGAGACGAGGTATCCCACGCATGACCTAGAGTTGGGGGCAGTGGTGTTCGCCCTCAAGATTTGGCGCCATTATTTGTATGGGGTTCGGTGTACGATATACACGGACCATAAGAATCTGAAGTATTTGATGGATCAGCCCAACCTAAATATGCGGCAAAAGAGGTGGTTGGATGTGGTTAAGGATTACGATTGTGAGATTCTGTACCATCCGGGCAAGGCTAATTTGGTAGCCGACGCCCTGAGTCGCCGGGCGGAGAGTGCCTCGTTGCGAGATGTATGTTTGCGATTGACCGTGATGACTCCGGTGTTGGACACCATTCGAGGAGCACAAGCTAAGGCAGTGAGGTCGGAAAACCAGAAGAGAGAGCGAGTTGTTGGGTTGGTATCGGAGTTCGTTACCGATGGTCGGGGGCTTATAACTTTTCAGGGGCGTATTTGGGTACCGTTCGTGGGAGGTACACGTGCCATTTTGATGGAAGAGGCTCATCGGTCGAAATTCTCGATCCATCCTGGGGCCACTAAGATGTATTTGGATTTGAGGATAGAGTATTGGTGGCCCTGTATGAAGAAAGATGTTGTGTGGTTCGTTGAGAGGTGCTTAACCCGCCATAAGGTTAAGGCCGAACATCAGAGACCGCATGGTAAGTTGCACCCATTGGAGGTTCCCGAATGGAAGTGGGAACAAATCATCATGGATTTCATCACCAAATTGCCAAGGACTGCTCGGGGAGTTGATGCAATTTGGGTGATTGTGGACAGGTTGAAGAAGAGCGCTCACTTCCTTGCCATCAACGAGAGTTCTTCCGCAGAGAAGTTAGCAGAGATATATGTGAGGGAAGTGGTATCTCGGCATGGGGTGCCGATCTCGATTGTCTCCGACTGGGATGTGCGTTTCACTTCCAGATTCTGGAAGAAGTTTCATGAGGAGTTGGGTACTAAGCTGCATTTTAGTATCGCATATCACCCCCAGACAGACGGACAGAGTGAGAGGATGATTCAGACACTCGAGGACATGCTCCGAGCATGTGTATTGGATTTCGGGGGAAGTTAGGATACGTATTTGCCTTTAGCCGAGTTTTCTTACAACAACAACAATCATTCGAGCATCGGTATGCCACCCTTTGAGCTGTTGTATGGGAGGAGGTGTCGGACCCCCATTTGCTGGGGAGAAGTCGGGCAGCGCGTTATGGGCAACACTGAGATAGTGCTTCAGACGACAGAGCAGATCCAGCAGGTCAGACAGAGGTTACTGACTGCTCAGAGTCGACAAAAGAGTTATGCGGACAGACGCCGGTCCGAACTTGAGTTCCAGGTCGGTGATTTTGTGCTCCTGAAGGTCTCTTCTTGGAAGGGAGTGATCCGATTCAGGAAGAGGGGTAAGTTGGGGCCCCGATATATCTGTCCATTTCGGGTAGTCGCGAGGGTAGGTAGGGTAGCCATTCGTTTGGATTTTCCAGCAGAGTTGGGGCAGATTCACGACACTTTCCATGTGTCGCAATTGCGGAAGTGTATAGCCGATGAGTCGGTAGTGGTTCCATTAGAGGATATTCAGGTGGATACGAGCCTGAATTATGCTGAGAGACTAGTGGCCATCAGAGATCGGAAAATCAAAGTTCTGAGGAACAAGGAGGTACCTTTGGTTTTGGTTCAGTGGCAGCATCGGAAGGGGTCCGAGATGACGTGGGAACTGGAGCGTGAGATGCGAGAGCAGCATTCGGAGTTATTTGCAGAGTGAGACTTCGAGGGCGAAGTCTAGTTCTAGTGGGGGGAATTGTAACAGCCCGGAATTTCCAAGTATTTATTATTGGCTTATTTTTTTGGAAATTGTGAGTGGACTCGGCCCGTTGGAGCTCAAACTCGCCGAGTAGGATCGCGGTATTGGGCACGGGTTCGCGTCCGGACTCGGCGAGTCCACGGTGTGTGATGAAACCCTAATTCCCGGGGTTTGAGACCTATTTAAAGGGCCTTATGGCCGTCATTTGTGCTCACCAATCCATAGAGAGAAACCCTAGAGTGCTTGAGCGTTTTGAGAGAGAAAGGAAGCCATTCTTCACCTTTGTGGGTTTATTTAGCAAGGAGAAGGAGATCATAACCAAGAGGAAGCATAGGAGATTGCTATACTGTGGATTTGAAGCTCAGATCTTCGAACTTGAGGTATTATTTCAACTCATCTTCTGTTTTATGAAATATATTTGGATTTAGGGTTTCTTGTGCCCTTTATTGGGTTGATTTGATGCCAAATAGTCTCTTTCTAATTTTGAGGCTTTGGATCTGGATCCATAGAGGTCCATATAGCCTCACTCATCAAGCTTTATGAAGAGCAATGGAGATTATGACCTTGAGTTGTGGTATTTGGGACTAAATCATCATATATGGTCATATAGATGTTGTATGTACATCAAGATAGTGACTTTACGTGCTAAAGAAGCTTGGAAGGACTGGCTCTATAAGTTAATGGACCGGATCTGACCTTAGGAGCGAGTTTGAGTCATTGCACGGCATGGACTCGCCGAGTCCGAAGAACAAACTCGGCGAGTAGCATGAATATTGCCTAGCACCACATAGCGAGTCGTCTTGCCGAGTTGAGGGTTTGACTCAGTGAGTCAGGGAGAGTCAGAGTGGGTTGGCAAGTGGACTGAGTCAAGATGGACTCGCCGAGTTGTTCTTGAGACTCGGCGAGTTGAGTCGTGGTGGCCCCACAACTCATGCCAGGTGGAACTCGTCGAGTTAGGAGAATACTCGACGTGTCAAGAGAGGATCCCAGGGAAATCAGTGTATGCGCTTAGACTCGCCGAGTCGTTATAGTGCACTCGCCGAGTCCGGTCAAAGTTGAACGTTGACCATTGACCAGTGTTGACCTATGTTGACTTGTTAAGGGATAGTCAACCTTAGTTGGGAAAGTGTTAATTAGAGATGTATTGTGTTATAGGAGGACTATAGCTCGGGAGATCGAGCACTAGTGATTTCAGGGATTTACGAATTACCGAGACACGCGAGGTGAGTCTTCTCACTATACTTTACCTTGAGTAGGTAACCAGAGTTATGTGACAGAGTATTTGTGTGCTATGTATGTTATGTGTTGTACTGCATTATTTCTATGTGATTTATGTTGTGCATGCTTACAGAGTTAGAACCGGAAGGTTCACAGAGTTAGAACCTGAGGGTTCACAGAGTCTGGGTGCACGGACCCACAGAGTTATAGCCTCGAGTGGCTAATATGTGTTATATGTGGTATTTTGGGGAACTCACTAAGCTTTGTGCTTACAGTGTTTGATGTTATTTGTTTCAGGTACTAGTGACGACCGCAGGAAGGCGCCGGCTTAATCAGTACACACGCATGGGATTTATGATTTTGAGATCTTGGGATTTTGTATTACTTGGAATGAATGATTAAATATGGTTGTTTTCTGAATATTAAATGAATTATGTTTTATAAAAATTTGAAAATTTTGTTTTGAAATTTACGGTGTTACACTTCTGGTATTTATGATAATGCATCTTATACTCACAACAAAGCTTATCAAAATAAGACATATGTAATGAAACTTTAATCTTTTTATTTTAAACGAGTTCATTTGCCTTTTTATTTCTAACAAGAGAAAACTTGCTTTGCCAATATAACTCATAAGCAAACCACATATTTGGAGCTGAAATCATGAAATGTAGAAGAAAAACTATCATATTACACAATATAATGATGAAAACCAATAAACCATATTACCATGTTATTAGCACATAATATGAATGTGTGATCGATTTATTATTAATTTGACATATTTAAATCAAAATATTTAAAATTTGTGCATATGATTTGGTCATACTTTTCTATCATACTCCATAATTTTGAAGTATGCTTTTATAATTAAACTATATTTTTTTTTAATGATTTTCATTTTTCAAATTTGAAACCTTTAATATTTGTAACTATTTGTGTTGTAATGAGTTGTTAATGTATGTTGAAGATGTAGTGGATAATCTAGTTCAAGTTACTGCATTAACCATTGTTGGGGAGGTTTTTCTTATTAAAAAAAAAAAAAAAAAAAAAAAACAACAACAAACAAAACAAACTTTAGCATTTGAAATATTCAAAGTTTCGAACTACACAACCCTATGTTCATATGTGACCTACGATCAGTTTTGAACCACAGCTAACCCATTCACTCCTAAACAATACTAGCCCACTTTAAAATCTTTAATTTGGTTGATCGTGTTTTCTATTCGACTTTATCTATTTATACCAATGGATCATTACTCAGAAGTAACACAACACGTAGGCCCATCACTCAAAGTAACGGTATGTAATTTGAAAACTCAAAACCTCCGGCACGAAACCCTCCAATATCTCTCCAAAATGACTCTTCACGTTCTCACGTTCACCACCCCCACAATTTTCTCCCTCCAAAAACCTTCATCTCTTCAGTCTTCCCCCTCCTTCACTCTCTATATATACACCCATCCCTTCCAACTCCAACTCACAATTTCCATTTGCATTATTCTGCAAGCATACACAAATTACAATCACGTTCCAATTAAGTTTCTGTAAGAAAATGCCTTCTTCCTCCACTGCTCTGGCTCTCTTTTTCCTAACATGCACCATCGCCGCCGTCTCCGGTATGCAATTCCTAGTCGGAGAAAACGTCGGTTGGCGTGTCCCGGCCAAAGACAAAACAGACCTCTACGACGTCTGGGCTTCAAGAAAGCATTTTCGCGTCGGCGATACACTTCGTTTGTTTCTTTCTCTTTTACTTCCTTTTTAAAATTATCAGATCAACGAAGCATGATATATATACCTGCTCTTGTTTTCTTCCGAATAGGGTTTCAATACAAGAATGATTCGGTGGTTTGGACAACAAAATTTGCGTTTTGGCACTGTGATTCAAGGCAACCGATCTCTGTCTTCAACGATGGGAATACGGTTATTAATCTTGATAAAGTGGGTGAGTTTTACTTCATTAGTGGGAAAGCAAATCGTTGTATTAAAGGGCAGAAGATGATGGTGAAAGTGGAGAGTCGTAACTACCCTTATCCACCATCAGTAGTCACTCCACCTGATAGCCCTAAGTCGCCGGCGACGTCTCAGCTCGCAGGCTCCGGTAATTCATCAGATTCCGGTCCAGAAGCTACGCTGGTTTCTGTCTCAGTGGTGTCTTTCATTGTTGCTGTAGCAGGATTATGGCTTTGCATGGAGCACCCATAGTTCTAATTATGCTAATTTATATGATTCTGTTATTCATTTAGGTTTTGATTTCTTTGTTTTGATTAGTATGTTTGATTTGAGTTGTTTCTCTGATTGAGTTTGTCTAACAACTTAGTTATTTAGTTTGTATCTAGAATTTGTTTTTGATTATTGATTATGAAGATTTTTTTCGAAGTATGTAATTACATTATAGCATTGATGTTTTCATATTTAATGTACGAAGTACGAACATAAAAGATGCAGTTTCTGGGTTCTTTTGAGATTTGACTTTATTTAAAACGTCTTTTATAAGCCATGATTGACATATAAATGATGTAGTTTCTGGCCAGTTTTTTTTTGGTATCCGTTTATTTGGTATTTTAACTTATTAAAAACAAAAAATAAATCTCCTATGAACCAGCACAAAAATGGACAACAAAATCGATTATAAATTCTCCATAAGAGCATTGAACCTTTGAATGGAAGCAAAAAAGGTCGAGATACTTTAGAGTTAAAATCAGCACTGCTTCAAGATATTTGTCCATACAGTATCAATTATATTTCACACTAAACTCCCTTGAGGGAAGATTCTACTTGCAAGTGGTGAATTTAGAACAAAAATTAATATAGTGCTTTATATAAATGAATTGGAAAAAAGTATAAAATGCTGGTTTTTTGGCGAAAATAAAATAAGTTTCGTATGTTTTTTTTATATATAATTGTTGTATTAAAAAAGAAAAAATGTAGGTCTTAGGACCCACCTAATGCATGAGTAGCTACGCCACACTATTAGGCTGGAGGGAGTGGCTCGCTAGCCATTCTCGCCAATAGTGCTAAATCCACTCCTTACAAATGTGTCAAAGTCATCGCCAAAACAAAGTCGCAGCTCCTACCTGAGGAAAGAAAAAGAGATTGGGAGATAAAGGTCCTTGATTGGTTAAAAAAATTATCTTCTTTTTTTCTTTTCTTTTTTCAAAATATAAATAACACATGATTAGATGCTACCACTCCTTACCTTTTTATTACCATCCTCTTCATCCTACATGTCTCAAAAAAATCTTATGTGACCTTAAAAAATCCTATATGGTAACATGCTAAAGATGTTACCACTTCCTTAAGCCTTAGTACAATATCTGGGGGTAAAATTGTCATATGTACCATGAGGAAGAGAGCTTTGGTATCTTCAGACATGGCAAGTAAATCTACTGAGTGGAGTTAGGGGTGACAAATCGTGTTATTGTTTCGTATTTCTGTCTGACACGACATGACAAGTTTTTATATAACATGAATACGACACGGCATGATTCGTGTTTTTTATAACTAACACGAAAACGAAGGAATTAAAAAACGATAAACACGACACGAAAAACATAATATATACTAAAAACTACTTTATTTAATGAATGCTTTATTAAATATAACACGATAAGCACGAAAAACACAATAAAGAACTGCTAAATCGTATCAATTTTATGTCGAATTTTGAACACAAACACGACATCATCTTTTTTACAGTTAATACGAATACGAACACGAATTCAAATTTCAATACCAACAAACAAATAGTGAAAGCTGGAGTTTATTAATCTTCTAAGGGCATGTTGACAATGTGATCCTCTCCTTTCAAACAATTCACAATCTGCACTTGTTTAAAGCTAAAAGAAGTTGCTACACCATTTGTCCATTCGCACACTGACACATGGCATTTTTTTTTGTGCTGCCATATCATTTTTTTGCTGCCACCTCACTCGCATGTTTTCCTTAGAGATTTCATTGGAGTGGTTCTATTTTTTTTCAAAGTTAAATAAATTATATTTTTAAAAACACAAACATTTCATATTAAATAAAAAAGTTACAATAAATTAAAACAAGTCTTCATACCTAGAAACAACACTTGATATCTAGAAATACGAATTAGTACATAAAAAAAGCATTATAACTAAAGCAACAAGTCTTCGTCCGAACATTGGAATTCCAATTCATCTTCCAGTTAGGGATGGAAAAAAACCACATACCCAATGGGGAACCCGAAACTCACACTCGTTTTGACTGAGGAATCCCCAAGTTGACCGGGGATGAGTACGGGGAAGGGGAATCCCCGAATAAAAAAAGTGAGGATGGGGATACCCTTAATACCGACTCTGGACCCGCCCCCGACATATTTTAATATATAAAAATAATACAAAACATATATTTATAGTACAGTTTATAATACATAAAATTTGATCTAAGTAATCTAACTTATTAGTAATTACTTGGTTGAAATTATACTTACTTTTTCTTTTATTTAATTTAAACTCGTGTATATATATTTTTTTCTCTTGGTTGATCTATTTTACCTTAAATATTAATCTGATAATTTTTTTATACTTGATTTTTCATGTATGTATTTAAATTTGGTAGAAAATTTATTTATGCAATTTATGGGTACTTATATATTTTATAAAATCTTTAAATTTATGCTGGTAAAATTAAAATTTAAAGTTTTTTCTTACGTAAAAGTTTGCATATTAAAAGAGAAAAACAAATCTTCGTTTCCCCATTGGGGATCCCCAATCCCCGTTGGGGGTGAGGATGGAGATGGGGATTGGAATGAGGATTCATGGATGGGGATGGGGATTGGGGTCCCCAGTGTTCCTCGCCTCCGTTGCCATCTTTACTTCCGGTGACATATTAAGATCAAGATTGTCAATCGTTCAAAGATGATCAATCAAATAACGACGAAGATCAGAATGGATTATTGCATTGTTGGCTATCATCAATCTCCATATCCATTCTTGACCACCATAATCTAGTTGTTGTGTCTTGAGGATGACTTGATTTTCTTCGTAGGCACATATCATGTAACCTTCATGTTCTAGTATCATATTATGTAATATGATACAAGTATACAACATCTACTTCATTGTTTTTACATCACAAAACAATGATGCTTTGGCAATTATTAGCCAAGGTTTTTTAAGTGCTTCAAACGTTCGTTCAATATCTGTTCTCACTTTTTCTTGGACTCTCTTAAATCTTGACCTTTGAGGGTCATCCGCACACGACAAAGTTTTAGCAAAAACCGAAAGGTCGGGATATATCCCATAGACAAGATAGTACCCAAATTTGTATTTCATTCCTTGGAGTACAAATGATGAAGTTCGAGCAATATATATTGTCATACATTTTGTTGAATATTAGTGAATTGTTGAGAATATTATCATCATTAATCGAACAAGGACTACCAAAGTAGGCATGTCAAAACCACAAATCTTATGAGATTACAACTTCAAGTATGATCGTCGGATATAATCATACGCTCCACTCACACCTTTGACAATACACATAAATAGATCTTTATGGATTCGGAACCGTCGATGAAAATAATATCTTTGAAAGGGAGCATGTTCTTCAAAATAATCATGGATCGGACGTTGGTGAGCTGCTTCTCGCTCTCTTTGGATATATCTTCTTCGTTTACGTTGCGCAATGTTCACTTCGTGGTTGTCTAGCCTATTACGTACGACGATGATTGATTGTATTATGTTCTCGAGAGCATTGTCTGAGGAAGATGATGATGATGACGACGATGACGATATTTTTTATAAAATGATGGAGGTTTTGAGAGATGCATTAGGATTTATGTGTGTTGAAATGTGAAGTTTAGTGTGTTTATTCATAGTAGTTGATAAAAATAAAAAAACGGCTATATTTTTATAAAAATATATATTTAAACTTTTTTTTTGGGTAAAAAACATTAATTTTGGTTAAAACATTCAAACCAATCCCTTTCACCCCACCTTCTCTCCTCTTTCGTCTCGTTGCACCGGTGGCGGCGAAGCATTGCTGGCAAGCCATGGGCCATGTTTGGCGAAGCTAGTGGATGCTTGTATATCTTTTTTATTATTATTATTATTATTATTATTATTATTATTATTATTTAGAAGTCCTTTATTTTCTTACATCGACACCAAACAAACGTCCACGTCCTTGTATTTTGTTGCATATTTCGATTATTACTTTCACAATAAAAGATATAATGTTAGTCTTAAAACAAATACTTGTAAAACCACTATACTAATAAAACTAATACAATAACCCAAAGTTAATGCCTTAATATATTATATTACCAATGGTGTTTTTTAAGCATTACTTAATTACTAGGAGGTGTTTAAAACATAGATGTTTTTAGTAATTATAAAAAAACTAGTTTTAACTAAAATTGTGTTTTTTTTTTAATTTTATGTTTTAGTAAAATGGGGTGTTTATTTAATCATTCCCTTTGCAATTCATTTAAAAGTTGTATCCATAACAATATACGACGAATGATCATGTTTTCTATCACCTTTACAACTTAATAATAAAACAATGGTGACATTCGGTCCTCAAAAATTGCTCAGTTTCAAAGAGTCACTAACCAGGTTAAAATGTTAAAGTCACTGTCACTAATCTATATACATAGAGATTAAATATCATCATTTTTCAATAGGAAACAAAATCCGTTGTAGTCTAGTTGGTTAGGATACTCGGCTCTCACCCGAGAGACCCGGGTTCAAGTCCCGGCAACGGAAATTTGTTTTTTATTTTCTATATTAATTCGTTTTTTTTTTTTTCAATCTCTAAATACTGCAGATTTTTAACTAAAAACTCTAGTCATTCTATGTCTTGGGTATCATTGTGGTCTTCAGTTACAGAACAGTTCATTTAACACAAAATAAAATCAATTAGTGTTTGGCACCCCCAAAAAATTGTAATTGTAATTGAAGTGCGCTTATTTAACACAAAATAATAACCAAACCATGATAAATTGTTTTCTTTGTTAATCCATATTTAATGACTTAATATAGTATATATTAAACCAAAAAACCAAAGTTAATGTATCAAGATTCAAGACACAAACAATTAATCTTTTTCCTTCTTCCAAGTCTTTTTACGTTGAAATTGATGAGTACGTTAACACGAATATCTAGGATGTATATTTGTGAGATTTTTTTTTTTGTTTTTTGTTTTTTTTTTGAAATCTAAGAGTAAAATTGTTTATTTAGTCTCAATCGTACCAAAAAATGGTGTTATTTCACAAAATCACCACATTTTAAATATTTAGCATTATATAATCCCTCTTTTTTGATATGCGGTTTTTCACAAAATTTATTTTTTCTTGAAATCGCATCATCATAATGAATTGAAAAACACTAGAGAATACACAAAGATTTG